ATTATAATTCTGATAATAATATCACTATTAAATTATTACTTCCTTTGCCAAAATTTGTATCATATCCGGAGGGCTTTAGTACATGGAAAGAATTATGGAAATCTCTTCCAAGTAATTTCGTAATATCGATCGATCGATGGAGAATTATATAAATATTGGAATGTTGAAGCATTACTTAATTTTAAATGGAATTCTTATGGTAGGAAATGTTATCTGGCTATTTGGTTATTTTATACTATACTTTTGGGCTGTTTTACGGTGGCTGCTACTTCGTCACACTCGAATTCTCTAACGGCGTTGTTGCAAGTGACTTTTATATTTTGGATTTGTTGTCTTATAATTGAATTTAGAAAATTTAGTTATTCTCCTTCGAATTATGTTACTAATTTGTGGTTTTGATTGTTATTACAGTAACTGTGTTCAATTTAATTCAATGAACGATATTAATTTAATTTAATTTCATTTAATTAGATCTTTGTGTTGTTTTATTTCCGGTAATAACGTCAAATCTCTGGTTTCAAAATGGATCGGTTTCCAATTGGTTGTTAGCTACCTCTAGTTTGTTACTCGAATTAAAATTTATCTTGTTTTTTTCGTACCATTGAACCCATCGGCATTTATCTTGCTTTGATAATTAGTGTGGCAAAAAGTACTTTCGTTTTTCTGGTAATCATAGGTTTAATTATATTGGCTTTTGCACATTCATTTCATTTATTATTAAGAACTAGTTCAGATATGGCATCTGATGGTGCGAGTTATAATGCTAGTGGGATGGGTGGGGTTGAAGAAAATGATCAGTCGGTTAATGCTGAAAGTAACAATATTTTTTCCACATTTGGAGACGCAGTTTTAGCAACTTATGCTATGCTCATTGGTAACTTTTTTAAAATTTTAGTTCATATCGATGTATGTAAAGTTAATTTCTTGGTTTTCATTACATCAAAATTTCATAGCTGCCTTCATAAATTTTGGTCAGCGAATGACTGAATCGATAAGTTATCGAGTCGATGAAATCAATAAGTTACCGATGTCAACTGAAACAAAAAATTTATCAATTCACATCGACAAAGCAGTAAAATATATAAATATTTTAAATGTTGACTCACTCGGATTATAAAAATCAAGGAATTAATTTTGTGTGGCCCCAGATTGTTTTAAAAGTTCTTTGAATTCTAATATCCAATTTTTGTTGTTTTATGTAACAGGTGACACCGCTTCACTATCACCATGGGTTCTACATGATAATTCTATTCTGACCATTCTGAAGGTCACATTCTCATTCTTTCAATTATTTATTTATTAAATTTATTTATTGGGATTCTTAGTAAAGCAATTAATGAAACAAATTATGAAGAATCATTTCTAATTCATAAAGCAAGGTATTTTTTTTCTTTTTCAGTTTATTATATTATATGGGTGACGACAAAGGAAAACTAGACTTCGATCATATAAAATTTATATGATCGAAGTCTAGTTTTCCTTTGGCATCCATATGTATATTATATGTATTATATTTGTCATCATTATTCACTTATTCATTGTAGGTTTTAGCTAAAATTGAGATGTTTTATATGTTACCTTATCAAAGAAGAAAAAAAATTGGTTTCCCGAGATCATTTAAATAATACAAGTTTTTATTAATTTTTGGTGTGATTCAGTGTTTATTCTTTTAACTTTTTTTTATAGTTTTTACACAGTTCATGTAAACGAACTTCGAAACCTAGTACAAATAATTCAAAATGATAAATGGAATGGTTTTGAGAAACTTTATTTATCACCAGCAATTTTGAAAGTAATTAAAGTCGAATATGATAATTTTTCTAAAAATAAGCAAGTGGAAATTAAGATAGGTGAGTTAAAGAGTTAATAATGAAATTAAGAGATGATGTTGTAGAGGTGGATGAATGGCGTAAAAATATCCAAGTTTAAAATTTTTTAAAATGTATAGAAAATACAGTACCAATATATAGATATAAAGAAACATAGAAAGCTTATAAAGCTTTAATTTTAAATAGATACATGACCGATATTCGTCTCCACGTCTAATGTCAACATCCAGCTGATCCATACAATATTAACATGTATTTTAAATACTTCTGACAAAGAAAAATAAAATTTAGAAACAAAATTTCGTCAAACATAAAATTAAAAAAAAAACTATTCTTGCAATTTATATTGGTATAAAATCAAGCAATTTTGTAACTATAGAAAGGCGCCAATATAATGAACGGTTAATAAAAAATTAGTATTACAAAAAAAGAGTCTTTATATAGGAGATGACTTGTACCTCGTTGATAATATTGAAATGTGTCCTTTAAATTCTGATGGACTATTATTTGTACGATTTAACATAAAGTAAATTGGGCATTTTGGAGTAATATTTATAAACCCGTGCTGGCTACAATTATTAAAAATACTCATGAATAGTGGATAGTCAATTCTTTCCTCCCTAAAACATTCTTCTAGAAGTGAAGTGAGATATTTTTTGTGTTCATTACAGACAATTAATTTTTTCGAGATATCAGAAAAAAGATTATGGCGACCACATTTTTTCCATTCTACTTCCAGCATACAAGGTTTATTATCCTTGATGTCAATAATACTATAAATGGAGATTAATTTGTGAAAAATCTAATTCAAGAAAAATGTAATGCGCGTACGTACGTACCTGCACATTATTTTCGAAGGAGAAATTTCATTGATAATATTATCAACAATATTGCAATTATCAAGGTCATGAACAAACATGCATGCTGATTTTTCTGAAGAATTTTCTGAAAAAAAATGAATACCAGTAACAATCTTTGACTGGTATATGTCGTAATTACTAGATTCCGAAGGACTTTGAATTACACATATTCCTAATTTATTAGAATGATTAAAAAACTGCTCGATAGGGCATCTGTACGATAGATGGTTGTCTATTTCTACTTTAGTCATTTCTTCACACTTTTTTTGGTAATTTTAATTTCATGATTTCTTTGTTCAAATATAAAATTTTCTGGATAACCGAAAATAATCCAGCCAATGTGTATTTTGCAATATTTTTTTTTCTGTTTTTTCCTCCTACCAAGATAATGAATAACGAATACTGGAGTATCTTCATCTACATATTCAATTCGTAAAGAATAGATGCGGTTGTCTTTATTCATGATTGATGCTAGTATTTGGCATTGAAGCGGGTTCGAGGTAACATCTTCAAATATCCCATTACTCCAACTATCGATTACAATTGGACTCAAGTTTGAACATTCGAGTTCTGCATGATGAGTTATTGTTCCAACTATTTGAAATTCATAAATTTTGTTAGGCAAACGATACAGTATACAGAATTTATTAAGATCAAAGTTAAATCTACAATTAAGACTTACCTTTAAGAATTTGTTCTCCAAGAGCTTCAAGTACCTTGTTTTTTAGTTCATTATCAAGTAAATCAAATATTGGACGTATCTTGTAGGAGATTATTCGCCAATTCTTGGAATTATTAAACGAATTCCTCCATTTTTTAATTGCCTCTGGATCATTCTTGACAAAATGAACTTCGTCCCCACCAATTATCGCTAACATTTCTTTCGTTATATCTACTGTCTTTGATGTGGTATCATTGGATTCATATCCACCTTCAGCGTGAATTAGTTCAAAGTTTCCAACAACCTTGATGCCGAGGCTACTAGAATCTTATTACAATTGTATTGTTTGCATTTAAATCATATATAACTATATAAAAATAAATAAAATGACTACTTACCCTTGGTTTGTTTACTAATGTTATTATAATTTTCGATGATAGCACCTCCAAAAATGACTTCACTAGCATAGAAATGTCCATATATTTTTAAAATTCTTTCAAGTTCTTTAAGTTTTTTATTGCGCGAATGGTCATTGACTAATGCAGAATTTACTTCTTTAATAAAATCATCATCCAATATTATATTTGTTTTATCA